ATAACACAGGTGTGAGCACACAGACACACGTGAGCATAGGCACACATGCAAGCACACAGAGAGATGTGTGCGCACATACACACTGCACACACAGACACACATGTGAGCACACACAGACACACACGTGTGCATACACTCCATGGAGCAGCATTCCCTGTCCTTCCCTTCCCTGTCACCCATGGGTGAGGCATCTCCCCGCCCTGAGGGTCTCCACACAGCCCCACCTCAGCCGGTCACACGGGGACATCCAGCAGCCCCCACACCCCCAGCTCCACCATTCCCACATGTCCCATGTCCCACCACGATATTCCCCCTTCCCCATCCTGCTGCCGCTGCCTTCCCGGGGTGCAGGACCCCCCTGGCGGGGCAGGAGTGGCCGCAGACCCCAGGGGACCCCGCGGGGTTTGGGGTGAAGGCGCTGCAGCCCAGCACGACTTTATTCCGGATCGCTTCGTCCATACAAAACTACACCCCAAGCACTGTACAGCGGGACGGGGGGCAGTAAAAATAAGCAGCGGGGGCCGGGGGGACAGAGCGGCAGGCGGGGGGTGGCGCGGGGGGGGCACGGCGGGGGGGCTGCTCCCCACCCCGTGCGGCGACATTGTCTGTGGGGGGAGCGCTGGGGGCCGAAGTGTCCGTCCAGGGCGGGGGACCGGGGGGTGCGCGACCCCCCTGGGGGTCCCCGCGCGCCCCCCGCCCCGGCCGGGCACCTCGATTTGGTCGGAAGCCGCGTGGCCGGTGCCCATCCCCGTCCCGGGGGGTGTCAGTCCGCGGCGGGGGGACACCCCTAATCCCCGGGGGGCATGATCCCGGGCGGGGGCAGCGGGGGCGGCCCCGCCTCGGCCCCGTGGACGCGCTGGTGGTCCTTGAGGGACTCCTTGTAGCGGAAGCTGCGGCCGCAGGCCGGGCACTGGTACGGGCGCTCCCCGGTGTGGATGCGCTGGTGCTTGAGCAGGTTCTGCTTGCGGATGAAGCTCTTGCCGCACTGGGCGCAGGCGAAGGGGCGCTCCCCGGTGTGCAGCCGCTGGTGGTTCTGCAGGTGCTCCTTGCGGCTGTAGCACTTGCCGCACTCGGAGCACTTGTAGGGCCGCTCCCCGCGGTGGATCATCTGGTGCCGCACCAGCCCCGAGTGGCAATTGAAGCTCTTGCCGCACTCGGCGCACGGGTAGGGCCGCTCGGCCGCGTGGCTGCGCTGGTGGATCCGCAGGCTCTTCTTCCCGCTGAAGCTCTTCCCGCACTCGGCGCAGCCGTGCGGACGCTCCTCGGCGGGTCCCGGCGGCGCCGCGGGGACCCCCCCGCTCTCGGCGCCCGGGCCCGGCTCGGCGCCCGGAGCTTTGCCCAGTCTGTGCTGCGCCGGCAGAGCCACGGCCGCTGGCACCGCCGCCTGTCCCTCGGGGGTCCCGAAGCCCGTGCCGGGGAAGAGAAGCTCCCCGGAGCCGCCCGGCAAACCCACCTCCTCGGGGGGCTCGGCGTGGGGGCACCGCTCCTCCGTCTTCACCAGCAGCCCCTCGCCGGCTGCAGGGGATGGAAAACGGGTCAGTGCCTACCAGGGATGGCCCCAAGTCACAGCCCAGCCTGGTGGGCGGTCCTCCCCTCCCCCCCCCCCCCCCAGCCCCATCCCAACCCCACGGGGGGATCACTCACCAGGACCAGGACCCGGGGGCAGCATCTCCCTCTCCGGCAGCTCCCAAGGCTCACGGACACAGGGCTCCTCCTCCTGCTTGATCCACGACAAGAAGTCATGTGCAGTGATCAGGGCGTCCGCGCCTGCAGGGAGGGACGGGATGGGAACAGGGATTCAGCCACGCCGGGCCACGTCCTGCTCCAGGAGGATGGGGAGAGAACAGCTCCAACAGGCAGCAGTGCCAGGGTGGCTCCGCCCCGGGCTCACCTGCACAGGGGTCTGGGGGCATCCCTCGCTCCTCTGGGAACTGCTGCTCCCCCACAAAGGCCACCTCCTGCTTGATCCGGGACAGGATGTCGGAGGTGGAGATCAGCGACTCTGTTCACAAGGAGAGACTTGTCCAGGGCCAGGATGTGGCCACATGGTGTGACCCACGGCCACCAAGGGTGTGGGACCCCCAGGCTTCAGCTGAGTGGGATTTCCCCGTCCCACAGCAGTTATGGGGCATCCAACACGCTGAGGGAGCTATGGGGATGGGTGACTGTGGGACAGTCCTTGGGGATGGGTGACCCTGAGATGTCTCATGGGGATGGGTGACCCTGAGACAGACCTTGGGGATAAGTGACTGTGACACAACCCCTGGGAACAGATGACTCTGGCACAGCCCTTTGGGAACAGGTGACTGTGGCACAGACCACTGGGGATGGGTGACAATGACAGGGCCAATGGGGCTGGGTGACTGTGGGTGACACAGGCTCTGACACAACGTGGTGGCAGTGGGGGACACGTGGATCTCCCAGTGATGGATATCCAAGACCCCCAGTACATCAGTCATTGGGATATTCTGGGGTCACTCATGGTAATTCCCAGACAAAGCTGGAAAACTGAGCCCAGGGGGGACAGGACCACTGGGGAAGGAGGCGAGACATCCCTGGGGTGGGCGAGGGGGGGGGACAGAAAGGGACAGGGGCACAGTGGGGACGGGGTCCTCCTGCCATGCCTCACCTGCGCAGGTGTCCGGCGGCAGCTCCCGCTGCTCCAGCTCCCGCTGCTCGGGAACACAGGGCCCTTCCCCGCGCTCGCTGCGGGGCTGAGCCTCACTCCTGGAGAGGGCACCGTCTGTGGGGACACAGCACTCATGGCACCGGGGCTGTGCCTGGCACACCCTCCCCGTCACCCACACATAGGGGGACACGCAGGGGACACACCGGGCTGCCAGGCCCTGGCACAAACCCCACCTAAATCCCACAGGACCTCCACATTGGAGGGTTTTTGGGGACAAGAACCCACCCCTGGGGTGGCAGGGTCTGCCCACCGTGGCATGGCATGACATGGCATGACATGTCACCCTGTCCCCCCGCACACAGCACGAGCTGTGGAGCATTCCCTCCAAAATGGGTGGTCACGGGGACACAGCGAGTGCCACCGCCCACGTTGGGGACCCTCCGGGGAGACGCAGCCTGCAAGGAAAGGGGCAAAAGGGAATGTTTACCCAGGGAGAGCAAAGCCTCGTAGTTCTCCTTCACCAGGTTGTTGTACAGCTCCTTCTGCCACTCCTCCAGATTCTTCCACTCCTCCGCCGAGAAGTAGACGGCGATGTCAACAAACGTCACCGGCACCTGTGGGGACACGTCCCCATGGCTCAGTGGCACCCATTCCCCAGGGAAACTGAGGGTCCCCCCCGTCCTGCAGCCCTCCAGGAGCCCTTACCTTGGGGACCTCGCCCCGGGGGCCGGGGGGCAGCCGCAGCACCCAGAAATTCCTGTTCTTCAGGAGGTTCTCCACGTTCTCCAGGCGCCTCTGGAGCAGCCCGTACTCCTGGATGAGGGTGCCCAGCACGGCCCACTTGCTCTCCAGCTGGTTCCCGAACTCCATGGCCGTCTTCTCGCAGTCCAGGAGCTTCTTCTCGGCCGTGCCGGATCGGCCCTCCAGGCTGAGCAGGCGGGTGGCCAGGAGGTCGATCTTCCTCTCCATGGCCTGCACCGTGGCCACCACGGTCCAGAGCGAGGCCTCTGCCGAGTGCAGCTGCGCCTCCCGCACGTGCGCCCGCTCCGGCAGCAGCGGCGGCTGCAGCGGCATCAGGTGAGGGGCTTCCATGTTCCACTCCTGCACCTGCGCCGTGGGGAGGGCACGAGTGAGAGGAGGCCCGTGGTCACTCCAGCGAAGCCCCCGTCCCCCAGTTGTAGGGCTTTCAGCCACCAGCAACCCCAGAACTGCATCATGTGTGATGCCCACCGGCCTGAGGGGACGGCGAGTGGCAGACCAGGGCAGCCATGGGGTCACTGTCCCCGTGGGACACCAGCCAGGTGACTCCCCACCCTGTCATCCCAGACCCCCATCCCCTGGGAGCCATTCCTGGGCCTGCCCAGGCTGGAACCCCACCGGGGAAGGAGGATGGAGATGGGAGGGCAGGGAGCAGCCAGGGGCAGGTGTGGACCAGGGGTGCCCAGGGATACCTCGGGGACACAAAGGGACATGCCAGGACAGAAGTGCCTGGGGCATCCCGGGGGCTGGAGCCTGCACGGAGCATCCCGGGGCACTGTGGGGCATCCCGGGGGCACGGGGACATCCGGGGACATCCAGAGGTGCCTGGGGACAGGCTGGGAACACACGGGCATCCCGGGACAGCGGTGCCCAGGGCACCCCGGGGGCACCGGGGCCATCGCGGGTCGGGTCCCTGGGGACATCCCGGGGCTGGAGCCTGTACGGAGCGTCCCGGGGGCACGTGGAGATCCCGGGTCAGCGGTACCCGGGGCATCCCGGGGGCTCACGATCATCCCGGGTCAGGGGTGCTCAGCCACGTCCCGGGGACACCGGGACCACCCCGGGTCGTGTCCCCGGGGGTCGCGGGGGCCCCGCGGGTCGGGGGGTGCCGGGGGGTCCGGGTCGGGCCGGGCCGGGGAGCGGCGGGAGCGGGGCGGGCGGGGCGGCTCCTCCCGCGGCCGGTGCCCGGTGCCGGTGCCCGCAGCCGGTGTCCGGTGCCCCGGGCCGCGCTTACCTGGGCGGGCGCCCACTCGGCCATGGCCCCGCGGAGCTGGGCCGGGCCCGGCGGCCGCGGCCGGGGCTGGGGCTGGGGCTGGGGCCGGGGCCGGGGCCGGGGCCGGGCGGCGGCGGGGAGAGCGCGGAGCGGGGCCGGGGCCGGGCGCGGGGCCGGGGCCGCTGTCGGTGCCTGCGCACGGGCCGGGCCCCGCCGCCCCGCCGAGCAGCCACGGGCAGCCGGGGAATCGCATCCGCCTCCTCCGGGCTGGGCGGCAGCGGGCGGGGAGCGGCGGGAGCGCGGAGCGCGGAGCAGTGCCGCCTACCGGCACCGGGAGCGGCTCCGCCACCGGCATCGGCAGCGGGATCGGCACTGCCACCGCCTGCCGGCACCGGGAGCGGGATCGGCACCGGCACTGCCACCGCCTGCTGGCACCGGGAGCGAGATCGGCATCGGCACCGATCCCGCCACCACCGACCAGCACCAGGATCTGCTCAGCGCTGGGATCGGGACCAGCTCTGCCACCAGGAGCGGCTCCGGGATCAGCTCCAGGATCGGCACCAGTACTGCCACCGCACACTGGGATCAGCTCTGCCACCGGGATCGGCTCTGCCACTGGCACCAGTACTGCCACCGCCATCGCCTACAGCACCAGCACTGCCAGCAGTACTGGCATGGGCACCCACACCGGCACTGGCTCCGGCACTGGCATGACCACAGCCACCAGTACTGGCACTGGCACCAGGATCGACACGGGCACAGGCATCGGCAGCAATGTGGGCAGGAGCATCAGTGGCACTGGCACAGGGTTAATACAGATTGAGGTTCAGGTGGGAACACCCAGAAATGACTCTGGGGGCACTTTGGGGGGCTTGGATGGTTTATGACCCTTCTAAGACGTGACCAATGTAGTTGGGCCAGTTGTGCCCCATCAGAAGGGACGGAAACCTTCAGCCCCACCTGGGAATGTCCCCCCTGGCAGGGGAGTGTCACCCCTGAGCCAGCTGTGTGAGGGAGGACATGGGCAGGACAGAAACCATCATCCCACCAGGATCTGCTGCTTTTCAGCCTTTCCCCTTCTCTGGCTCAAAAGCAGCTTCTAGACAAAGGTGGGTTTGTGGTGGTCACCCTGGGCTGTCCTTATGTGGATCAGAGGTCTCACCACCACACATCCAAAAAATCTCCTCCTCCCCTTTGTCTGGGAGAAAACCTGGGCTCAGCAAAGAACCTGCTGCTTTTGTTTGAGTCCTTAACCTTGAACATTCCAGTCTCTCACAGCTGCTCGGGGCTGTTCAGCTTTGGTGATCTCAGAGCCCAGGGTACAGAATCATGTCCCCAACTGCCACACCTACACTTCTTAAATCCCCCCAGGGATGGGGACTCCACCACAACCCTGGGCAGCCTGTGCCAGGACTGAGCAGCTCTTTCCAGGAAGAAATTTTCCCAATATCCAACCTAAACATCCTTTGGGGCCAAGTGTATTCCCCCAGTCTCCTCCATAACTTAGGGAACTTCACCACAGCACCAGCTCTTTGCTGCTCCTCTGGGAGCAGCTGAGCCCATGGACTTCACTCCAAGAGGAGCCCCCGACTGAGCACATCCCTCCAACAGGAAGCAACACATTTTCCCTCTTGGCACTCAACTGGAATAAGCAAAAATGATGAAAATCACCAGCCCCTGGGGAGAAAACACTTGGTAGGACCCCTTTCTCTCTGCTCACACTCTCCCCGCTGCTTTTTCCACTTTCCAAAGGAATATCACCAACACGTTGCACACACATTAAGAATATATCCATGGATTTTTTCCATAATTTCAGGAATCACAGCAGCATCTCATCCCACAGGAAATACATGGGGTCAATATAAAAATAGAACCCAAAACCAGAGTTACTTCAGCAGTCACAGGCAATGGCAGAGCAGCGAAAACGGGGAAATAATGCCCAGAACTGGTTACTTCAAACATCAATTTACCGGGGGAGAATCCCATTCCCAGGTCCTGGTTTTTCATCCCTGTAAACTCCCAGTGTTTCTCTCTTACTTTGGGTGCCCTCCAGCACGTGCTGTTTGGTGCACCAGGTTTTTTTGATGCCACTTTGGGTACAGCCAACGCTGCTCTATCTCAACTCCTGCTCCCAGGAAGAGATGGATAGAACAGGGTAGGAATTATCCAGCCACTAATTAAAATCAGGTCCTAATCAATGATTATTAGACTGGCACCAAGTAGACGCCTTTGGAACTCGAATTTGATTAAATTTAGGCAAAGTGCCTTATCCCAAAGCTTCCCTGTAACCCACACAGGATCACAAACCACCCCCCTGGACTGAGGGGGATTTTCAACAACCGAACGGGAAAACCTATCCTGGGAAATCATTTGGCACGTAGATGATGTGAAAATGGGTTCTCCAGTGGTTGGTGAGCTTGGGTTTGTCCGGGAAGCTCTTCCCACACTCCAGGCAGGTGTGTGGCCTGACCGAGTGGATCCTGCGGTGCCGGAGCAGGTACGTGTGCCGGGCAAAGCTCTTCCCGCACTCGGTGCAGATGAACCACGGCACCTCGGACGCCCTGGGGTGGGCCTGCTGCCGGAAAAGGAACTGTTGGAATTCGTCAAGTTGTCCTCCTGCAGGGAAGCTGCTGCCTCTCCTGTTTCCCGGGGGCTCTGCCTGGTTTGTTGAACTCCGGTGGCTCTCTGATGTTTCCCCCTTGTCCGAAACGTTCCAGAGCTGGTTTTGGGATCCTCCTGAGGATGATCCATGAACTTGGGTGTTTTCTGCACTCTGCTGCTGGGATCTGATCATGGCACCACCACGGCCTGGGAACAAGAACATTCCCAACGTTCCCTTTATCTCATTATCCACAAACCTCCAAAGAACAACAATTCCCAATTTTTGCATCTGTACGAAAACCCCCAAGTTTCGGGCAAAAAAAAGCAGGGGTGGGCTGGAATTCCCCCCCTCCAATCCTACCAGGTTCCAGGTGTTGCCAGTTAATTCCCAACGAGCCTCACACCTGTGCTAAGGCTGGCAGGAATCTTCCTTCCCTGCAAACCCTGCCGAGCCTTGACCTGCACTGCTTCTCCCACCGGGATCTTGCTTTTGGGAACAGGATAATCTGAACAAGCAACAGAAGGAACATGGAAACAATGGTTGTTATTATTATTTTCCTCTGACTGTTTTCCTGCATAACTCACTGTCTAACGAGCATCTCTGTTATTCCTGGGAAAATCCAACCGGGAGGGAACAGCCAATGCAGTTGCTCCGGTGTCTAAAAGGGTGGTGGGATGAAGGTGAGCAGGATTTGTCTTCCAATTTTTACAAAATATTTCAGAAATGACACCCCAAAGGTTGAAAACTAACTGTTGGAAAGTGGCAGGTCTCGGATTTGAGCCTTAACCCCAAATTCAGCCACCTGGTGCTGGATTTGGTGGTTCAGTCCTGTCTTCTTGGGAACAAGGAAAAGCACTTTTAGCTCCTGATTTCAGCAGGTTCCTCTATGAATCCATGGAATTACCTGGATGCTGAGGAGCCAGGGAGGGCTCACAGCTTTGAATTTAAAATATCAGTGATTTCAAACATACAGTTGGGCATTTAAAATCGACAAGATTTCTTTATTTTCTGGGCATCATTCTTGTTATTTAACTATTTCTGCATCGAAACAGTTCAATTCCCTTCAGTGAATCCCAAACCCAAACGTACATCAGGGTTTGGGGATGAGGAAAACACAGCTTCAGTATAAATAATGAGTCTTCAGGATTCATGATTCCTGAGTCACTGCAGCTCCTGTATCCAAACCTTTTCCACTCCTCTGTCCTTGTTTTTGCTGGCATGTGCATTCCCAGGGATCCTAAACCCTCTGCCCATGCTTCAGCCTTTAAAAGGAAGACTGTGTGTGGATCTCACAAAGATTCCCAAGTACCTAAAGATTAATTCTCTAAAAATCCAGGGATTTGAGGAGTGACAAGAGCCGGGCCTGACCCAGCACATGTCACCCTTTGGAGAGGGAAAACTGACCTTTTCTGAACATGGTTAAAGATCCGTAATTTTCCTTTAGGATTGTCTTGCAAAATTCATTCTGCCAGTCCTCCAAAGTTGGCCTCTTAGCACCATTGGGACACTCCCCAGGGACCTAAAAATCAAAATGTTCGGCGGTCAGTGCTGTTGGGGAGTCGTAAATCCCTAAAAACCCTCTTTTTCCAATGGTTTTTAACAGGTGGTCACCACCCAACCGCTCCCAGCAGTGTCTGTGTGTGTGTAACCAGCTCAATAATGAAAGATTTTACATTAAGAACCCTCTACTGTTATTTCAGAACGAGTGAAATGCCTTAAAAATGATGTGACTCAACCAAAACAATGATTTTTTCAAACAACTGGGTCAAAAACATCCAGGGTCAGCATCCATACCCAGCTCCCTCAGGGAATGTGGCTCTTCCTTAATAATCCAGTGTTTTAAATAAGCCCAGAGGCAGTTCCACACCGGCTGGAAAAGCTCCTCCCTAATAATAAAATCTTATTATTAGGGAATAATAATATTATTATTAATTAAGTCCTCTAGGGGATATTTCTCCAGGCTGCTTCCAAGGCTTTACACCCAAACCCTTCCTTTAATTTCATTTATTCCCAGCATCAACCCCACGTACCCTCTGGTGCTCGGGATTCCGGATTCGCTTCCGAGTTTTATTCCTCATCCCATCACAGAAGCCCTGGGGTGTCCCCACGAGCCAGTTCCCATCTTGCCCCCGGATGAATTTGTTGGGAACAGCCTCCTTCAGCAGCCGCCGTCTCCTGCGGATTTTCAGGGGATCCCCCTGGAAGGAGCCCTCCTCGAAGTGATCCGAGCACAGGCGCTCGTACTTGGAGGGGGTTCCCATGTCCCTGCCCATGTTCCGGACCCACTGCTGCAGGAGAGCCTCGTTTTGCAGAGGGAACCCGTGAAAAGTCACGGAGCTGTTCTTGCAGGCGCCGCTCGTGGCGTTCCGGCAGTTCAGGGCCGCGCAATAAACCATCGCCGCGGGAGCAGATCCCGAGAAAGCCACGCCAGGAGGGGGGGCTGGAGAGTTCCTGATCAACTTCAGGATTAAACAGGCCTAAATTCGTCTGAAAAAACCACGGTTTTGGCACAGAGGAAGAGCTGAGGTGACCCAGGGGAAACGTGGCGCTGAATTTCCAGGGACACGGAGCTCCCCACCGAGAGGAGCCAAGGCTGTCCCAGCTGCTCCAGCTCAGCAATCTGAAAGGTAAAAAGCTTCAAAATCAGCTTAATGCCCCAGGAATATGCAGATTTACGTTTAAATAACCCCCGTGATGTGCACACAGACATGTGCTTCCTTAATTGGTGTATCCAGGGGGGATCCTCCCATGCTCCAAAGATTATCCACAACTCAGCAAAGGGCTGAGAGACAAGTAACTACAAAAAAAAAAATGAAGGTTTGGAGTGTGCCAAGGGCTCCCCCATCGTGTCAGAGATGAAGAGATGTTTGAACAGGAGCATTGAAACAGGGAGAAAACCATCCAGGGATCTTGTTGGATCCTGCTCTGAAGAAGAGGGGAGATCCCAAGGTTTGTAGATCAGAAAGGAACAAGGATCAGAGGGCCCAAAAGAAGCTCACAGAGTTTGACCATTAACTTATGCACTCAGCATGGGAATTGGTGTTTTTGCCCTTCACTACCAGAAAATAAAAGTGGAAAGAGAGAGATCCACGACTGGATCGACCTTTGGTCCTGCACTGACGCTGACTTTGTGTTTATCTCCATGAACCAGAGCAGGGAAGTGGCCCCAGAAAGGTGCTCCCCATCTCCATGTGCCCCCTTTCTCCAGCCACATCCTGTCCCCATGTGCTTCCATCAGAGTTTGGGACACAGCAGCACATCAACTCCTTGGTGCCCAGGTCAGCGGGTCCCCAGCACAGGAAGGGCATGGACATGTTGGAGAGAGTCCAGAGAAGATCACAGAGATGAGGAGAGGGATGTGGCCCCTCTGCTCTGGAGCCAGGCTGGGAGAGCTGAGGGGGTTCCCCTGGAGAAGAGAAGGCTCCAGGGAGAGCTGAGAGCCCCTGGCAGGGCCTGAAGGGGCTCCAGGAGAGCTGGAGAGGGACTGGGGACAAGGGATGGAGGGGCAGGACACAGGGAATGGCGTCCCACTGCCAGAGGGCAGGGATAGATGGGATAGTGGAAAGGAATCCTTCCCTGTGAGGGTAGAGAGGGGCTGGAATAGATTTCCCAGAGAAGCTGTGGCTGCCCCTGGATCCCTGAAGTGTCCAAGGCCGGGTTGGACGGGGCTTGGAGCAACCTGGGCTAGTGGAAGGTGTCCCTGCCCATGGCAGGGGGTGAGGCTGGATGATCTTTCAGGTCCCTTCCAACCCAAGCCACTCCAATCCAGCCCCGCTTCCAAGCCCTGCATCCCCGGCAGTGCCCGTGCCTCTGCCCCCGCCCCACAGCTGTGGGGGGACGCGGGTCCCGGCGCTCCTCTCCCGGTGCCGCGGGGCCGGGAGCCTTCGGAAGGTGCCCACGCACCCCCGGGGCTTTAGAGGGAGAGGCAGGACAGGGCCCCGAGCGCCGCGGGACCCCCGCTCGCCCCGCGCCGCCATCGCCACCTTCTTCCTCCTCGGCCGCGCCAAGCCCCGGCAGCCAATCAGTGGCGGCGCCAGGCGGCAGTAGCCAATCGGAAGCCAGCCCTCGCCGTTTCCCCCCACGCCATTGGCCCGCCGCCCTTCTGGCTCCGCCCCCCCGCGGCCATAGGGAGGAGGGGAGGGGCAGAGGCGCGCATTCCCATTGGCCAGCGCACGGGGCAGCGGGGGCGCTGATTGGACCAGAAGGGGAGGAGGGCGGGGATTAGGAGAGGAGTCCTCTCGTTGTCATGGCAACGGCGCGGCAGGACCGCGCGGGACCCCGAAGCATCGGGACCCCTCCCCGAGCCCCGGGGCCGCTCCCGAGGCGGAGGCACAGCCCCGCCATCCCCAGCATCGTCGGGGGCGGGATGGGGCCGGAGCCCCGGGACCCCTCCCCGAGCACCGGCGGCGGGACGGGGGATGCGCCGTCCCGGATCCCGGCCCGGGGTGAGAGCCCCCCCGCCTTTTCCCAAAGATACCCTGAAACCCGGGATCTGGGGAGTGGCAGCCGCCTCAGAGTTCCTTCTCCGGCTTCAGCCTCGCCCCTCCCTTCCCCTCCCGCCGTGGAACCACTCGTGGCATTTAACAATTTTAATTAAACCCCCCTTAAATTTCCAGCCAACAACAAAAAAACCTCCCATCCTGGCAAAACTTAAGCAGAAACAAGGACGTAAAAAAAGGCCCTTTAAGGAAGTTTCCTTAAAGGAAAAGGGAAGAAGTCCTGACCCCAAACGGGCTCTGCCCCGACTCAGCCGCTGCTGCTCCTCTGTTACCGCCAAGGTGACAAATCCAGACTCTTATTATCAAAAGGAATAAATCGTGTGCTTGCAAAAGACTCAATCCCCTAAGAGACTCTGAACAGGAGCAAAACCAGTCTCTGAAGGAGGATGTTTAAGGCGCAGCTGTCAAATCCCTCTCCGAAGAGGAGGGGAGCCCCCAGCACATACCCGGGGTTCCAAAAGCAACAACGACAAACGCCAGAGGGTCCCAGAGGAGCTCACGAGGTTTGATTAGTAAATCACACACAGGGTCAGAAATCGGGATGAGTTAGTCCCGTATCTTTTAGTAGTAAGAGAAACAAAAGAGTAAAAGAAAGGAGGGGAGAGGGAGAGGTCAGGGAAGATCACCAGTCCCGGTTCCACCGTCGATCCCTGCGTCCAGGGTGTCCAGGGTCCCGGCGGTGCCACCTGGGCGCTGTGGGGGCACCTTTTTACGGGTAAGTTTTCCCCGCCCCAGGATCAGGTTTCCCCACTTCCCATTCAAATCAGGCAGTGTGCGCGATCCCTCCTCCCGGCCCCTTCTGGAAAAGGGTCGGAGGGGCTTCGGTGGTCCTGATGCCCATGTGCCGAGCTCCCCGATGGCTCCTACGCCGCCCTTGTGCGGGGTTTGCTGTGTCTCCGGGCCCGGAGGAGGAGGTTGGCCTCGGGAACAGCGCTGCCCTATCTCCCGTGCCCCCCTTCCCAGCCACATCCTGTTCTATCCTGCTCCTTATCAGTGTTTGGGACTCGGCAGCGCCTTAACTCCTTGGAGCCCAGGCTGCTACAGCTGCACAAATTGGAGAACTAGTCGCGTTCCCTGAAGAACGGGGTGGAAACTCGGTGATCCCGAAAACCGGGGAAAGCTGATGATTCTCCCTGAATCTCCTGGAGCTCGGGGGGCGGTTGATTTGCAAGAGCATCCTGGGCACTGCCGAGAACAATGCCCGGGAACTGCCGGCCTTTCCCTAACAAAGGGCACAATGAGGGACATTCTGGGACACAGCAGGAGCTGATCATCCCAGATTGTCATCTTAGACTGTGAGGGGATAAAAGCCTGGGGTGGGGGGGACCCCCTTTGTTTGGGGTCCCTCCCCCGAGGCACCAGCTCCAGCAGTTACTCTGTTGTTGCATCATGATTAAGTGATTTTAAGGAATTATTTTAAGCATCCAGGTGTCCCAGATCCACTCCACTATGGAAAACCCGCTTGGACTGTGTGAGAGGGGTGTGGAGTCAAGCAGGATCCATGGATCTTGTCCCTGGAGTTTGTCCCAGCTCAGGTGGTGGGAATGTGACTTCCAGAGTGGCTCCTGGATGATGAGACAGGGAAGTTTCCTTAACAGCCACAAGCCAGGAGAGACTGAAATCCAGCAAGTGGAGTCTTATCCGTGGCTTGGGCATTCAGATTCCAGCTGGTTCTCGTCAACAATTAACAAAATTTCTAACAGACATGGAAGCACAACATCCAGTATTAACAGCGGGATGCTGGTGTAGGACCTGGAAGGCAAAGGGTTAAAATCCCTGGAGCAAATGCTCCGGGTGCCAAACTGCTCAGGTTAATTTATGGGCCAGAAGCAGGAATCAGCCAACCTTAAACCTAAAAGAATTCCAGAGGCTACAATGCACTGCCTCCAGCAGCACCTGCACTCCCTGACTCAAGAACCATCCCTGTAGCACAATAGCAAATTCCTGCTGTGGCAGGAAGGGAATTTCTGGAGTTCCAGATGATTTGGCCCCACTTGGAGCTGCAGGTCCCAGAAGTGCTGGGCAGTGACTGGGGTGCAGCAGCCCAGGCACCAGGGAGTTAATGTGCTGCTGTGCCCCAAACACGGCTAAGGAGGGACAAACTGGAACAGGGTGTGGCTGCAGAGGGGGACCCTCTGATATTTTTGGCCTCTCTGACATTTCTTCAGCATCATCTCTACCTTTTTTTCCCAACTTTGGGGGTTTTTTTCCTCCTTTCCCTGTGACCATTTCTGCAGCCGCTCAGTTTTCACAGCCAGTAACAAATCAGGTTTTCCTCCCTTCTATTTCCTCTCTCAGCTCTCGTTTCTCCCTACTGCGCTTTTTCCTGTCTGAATTCTCCAACAATTCTCTTTCCCTGTGCTCTGCTGCAGCAAGTGAGAGTCCCAAGCTGGTCATTTTTCAGGCCCAAGTTTATCAGCTTGGATTCTGTGGAAGGCCAGGAGATAAGGGGCCAGTGTGTGTGTCTCAAACACCGATAGCCCGGAGCCAGCCAAGGACTGGGGTGTGAGAACACTCCGTGCAGGGAGGGATGGGATGTGTCTGGAAAAAGGGGGACACACAGAGGTGGGGCAGCACTTCTCTGGGACAAACACCCTTATTCTGGCTCCTGGAGATAACATGGAACAGTGCAGGCACAGGAGTGGGGTCAAGGAGCAGGCACAGAGTGTCAACCAAAGGTGGATCAGTTTGGGTGGGATCAAGCCCCTCAAAGCCTCCATGACCTATTTCCAGGAGGATCCAGGGAAATGGACTGTGCAGGTTCACTCATTTCCATGAGAAGTGGGAAAACAAGCCCCAAAGTGGGGAAAACTTGGCTATAAAAAAGGATGACACAGGGTGGGGAAAACTTGGCTATAAAAAAGGATGACACAGGGTTTGGGGGCACCCCCAGGATCCTGGACATGGTGTCAGGCAGATCAATGCTGGAGCCAGGACTGGTGATCTCCTTCCCTCTCCTCTCTGATCTCCCTCTCCCTCTTCCCTTTTTTCTTTTCCTCTATTAGAAGGTAAGGGGAAAAATACCAATTCCCATGCTCTGCATGGAATTTGCTAATAAAACTTCACAAGTTTTTTTGGATCCCTCTGACATCTGTCATTCCTTTGAACCGTGGGCATCTTGGGAGCTCCCTTCTGCTTTGCAGTGGGATGTGCCAGACCCAAAGGAAGAGGCTGGAGGAGCAGTGCTGCCCTACCTCCACGTGGCCCTCTCCAGCAGGTCCTATTCCACTTGCTATGGGTGTCTGGGACACAGCAGCACGTTAACTCCTCGTTTCCCAGGTTTCTGCAGCACCTCCATGTTTCTGCTTTCATAGGATTCAGAAAATCGAACAAACACAGAAGACAATGTGGGAAAATAAATGCAACACAACTTTTAAGGCTATGCAAAATTCAAACCATGTTCCAGGCTCCCCAGGTTTACCAGGCTTACCAGGTTTTGCAAATCCTAGTAAGGATCCCACCCTTCAGGAATCCTATCCCGGGGTTCAGCAACAGAGAGACCCAGGAGCTCTGGGATTTATCAGCAGGAATTAGCTGCCTCCCAGGCTCTGTGCCCTTCTGACTACTCCCAGCAGCCATGGGATAAAATTTCAGACATTTTCTCTGTTAGATAGCTCTTCTTTGTAACACACATCCCAAACTCCGTGTCCACGTGGTTTCTCTCCCCCGCGGATTCACAGCCAGCAGCACCTCTGAGCTCCCACACCTCCCCAGACCCACAGGCACCGGTGGAAAACAACCCCCAGCCACCTCCCTTGGCCTGGGAGGGCTGTTCCACAGCCTCCTCCTCCCACCACGCCCCGGGGCAGAGCTGGGGGTCCTGCCCTGCCCCAGGGGGCTGGCAGGGGTGTTTTATATGGAATGCATCACGGAGCCCCTGATGTCCGTGCAGGGCCAGCCGGCCAGCGGCAGGTGTGCCTCCTGCACGTGGCTTTCCTGATGCTTCACCAGGCTCCTCCTGAGCACAAACCTTTTCCTGCAGAGAGGACACTGGAAAAGCCCCTCCCCCGTGTGCCTCCGCTGGTGGTTGAGGAGGTAATCCTTCCTCCTGTAGGTTTTGTCACACTCGGAGCACTTGTAAGGCCTCTCTCCCGTGTGGGTTGTCTGGTGTCTGACGAGCCACGAGTGGCAAACGAAGCTTTTCCCACAGTCGCTGCAAATGTAGGACTTGCCCCGGCCCTGGCTCTGCTGCTGGTGGGCAGGGCTGCCCCGGGCTGGGGGGGGATCCCAGCAGGCTCCAGAGGTGTCCATGGGGAAGTTCTCCTCGTTTTCAGCAGGTTCCTCCCCGCCCAGGTCCTGGTCCCAGAGCCTGGCTGTGCCCGCGGGGGTCTGTCCCCCCTGGCAGGGGGCAGGGGCAGCTCCCGGCCCCATTCCCTTCTCTCCCAGCTGGGGGTGCAGCAGAGGGAACACCCTCTCACACGTGGGGCCTGGAAACATCTCCCCTTGTCCCTGTGGGGCCTGGGGCTGGTCCTGCTGCGGGGAGTTTCTCTCACACTTGGACACACACGGCCTCTTTTCCTGAGCACTAAAGAAATCCAAGTGCTCACCAAACCCTCGGTCGTACCCGTTCCCAGTGCTGTTTGTTTCCATCATTTCTGAATTCCACTGACTGTCCCATGTCACTCCAGGGCTGGGATCCTTGGGAAACCTCTCTCCTGGCCTTCCTGGTGCCTCTGAGTCACAGGTAGTGCTCTCAAAACATTCTGCTGGAGGGTCCCTCTTCGTGTTTTCATCTGAAACACAGAGATTTTGGAGTCTTTTAACTCAGGAATCCCCTTGGGAATGTCCCTCCCAGCCCACAGCCACATCATTAATACTGAGTGGGGGAACAAGTACCAGTGTCCACTAAAACAAAATCTCCAGGAAAACAGAAAGACTTTTTTCCAATTATATTTTTTTAAAATCTACATTAAAAAATCTCCGCTGCAATGTCTTAGATTCACCTTCTCACTCGGATGTCTGAAGTGGGAGGTCTGAGCTCCCTGACAGAGGGGACAGTCACACCTTGGTACTCCCTATTCCAGTGCTAAACCACCCTCTGGGTGAAGAACCTTTCCCTAAAATCCAGCCTAAACCTCCCCCATCGAGCTTATCAGAAATACTGTCTGACCCCAGAAATACTGTCTGACCCCAGGAAATGTTTTTAATGAACAGCCTTGGAAACTCATTTTTCTTGCCTGAACAACAACCCAAGTGGAGTAAGATTTTTGTTATTGAGCCTTCAAAGAAAGTTACTGACTGGAATTGTGGCCAGGATAGAAAATTACCATGACTAAAGCCCACTGTCCTGTCACTCTATAAACAGCAGTGCAAAGTGAGATCCTTGAAGCTCCCAATTCCCAGAAGATCAGGGAATGTGTGTGTCCCAAACACCCATAGCTGGATGGCCATGGAGCCAACCAAAGACTGTTGATTAACACACTGTGAGAAAGAACAAGATCTGGCTGCAGAAGGGGCCTTGCAGAGACAGGGCAGTACTTTTCTGGGACAAACATCCTTGTTGTAGTTCCTGGAGATAAGCACAGCAGGAATGAGGCCAAGGAGTGGCCATGGACTGTAAAGGGGGATCAAGACATCCAAAGACCCCCAAAGCCTCTGATTCATTTCCAGAAAGGCCTGAAAAAAATGGACTGCGCATGAGAAATAATTTGCATGGAAACCCATCAGGACATGGGCCACCACTGACCATGTCCCCAAGTGCCACGTTCACAGGGCTTTGATATCCCTCCAGGAATGGGGACTCCACCCCTGCCCTGGGCAGCTGTGCCAGGGCTGGACAGCTGTTTCAGGGAAGAAATTTCCCCAATATCCAACCTGACCCTCCCCTGGCACAGCCTGAGGCCGTTCCCTCTCCTCCTGTCCCTTGTTCCCTGGGAGCAGAGCCCGACATCCCCCCGGCTCCAACCTCCTTCCTGGGAACTACAGGGAGCCAGAAGGTCCCCCCTGAGCCTCCTTTTCTCCAGGCTGAGCCCCCCCAGCTCCCTCAGCTGCTCCTGCTG